GAGAGAGAGAGAGAGAGAGAGAGAGAGAGAGAGAGAGAGAGAGAGAGAGAGAGAGAGAGAGAGAGAGAGAGAGAGATTGCAATACATGAGTGAATCAACTGTCATTGTCGCATTGTGATAAGGAACCCCCTTCAGCTCCTTCACCCCCCAGATCCTGGTCACACTGCTATGCCAAACGTGCCACCTACCCACCCATGCAGGATGTACAAAGGACAATACGAAAGAGCTCCATTTTCTCACTGAAGAAGCATCACCACATTCTATCGTGAATTCTCCACTCAAGGTAACCCTAAAAGAGTCTTCTTGAAGTAGTGCCACACTTGGAGATGCAAAAAGAAATCCACCATGGACGAAAGGTAAGTCTCCATCGCGGTTACCCTCTTCTTTCTCCCATAAGACGACTGGTTTTCTCCTTACACCTCTTGCCCAATGTGGGCCCTGACACTCACTGCCATGGCCAGCCATTCTTCCTGACCCTCACGCTCCACCTCAATAGCCTACTTTTGCTTCTTCTTTGAATATTACTACTACTACTACTACAAAATCTGACTCATCTTCATCTACTTCTACATCTGATTTTGATTTTCTTACCCTCTCATCCGAAATTCCACCAAATCTTCACAGCATCTTGGCTCAATTTCGCGATGTCCTGTCTGAACAGTGCGGAGTTCCCAAGCAAGCAGTCAAGTACAAGACTGAGCACATTGAAGGGAGTGTCTATTGCATGGGACCGACCAAGATGTTGCGAAGGCAAATTGATGACATGCTTAACAAGGGATGGATGAGACCGAGCGAGTATGTATTGGAGCACCAATCCTTTTTGCCTCCAAAAAGGCTAGTAAACTCCAAATGTACATTGACCACCGAAGCCTAAATCAGATCAATCGCAAGAACGCCTAACCTTTGCCCCAAATTGACAATCTTTTCGATGCTGCGGGTGGGTGCAAGTCTTCTCCAAGGTTGATCTCAAGTCCAGTTACCATCAAATTGAGGTAGATCCAGTAGACCAGCGCAAAACTGCATCTAAGACACTTAATGGGTTCTACGAGTTCATCGTCATGCCCTGTGGCCTCATGAACGCACCAGCCACCGTCCAAAATCTCATAGATAATGTCTTTCGCGATCATTAACAGATTGTATTTGTGTTTTTAGATGACATCTTGATTTTCAGCAAAACCATCCAGAAACACAAAGAACATGCTAAGGGAAGTCCTTGAGATTTTGTAGAAGGTGCAGCTTCACCTAAACTTCAAAAATTTTGAGTTCGGGAAGAATAGTGTCATCTATATCGGGCACCAGTTGTCTGCTGCAGTCCTTGAGCTTGAGGTAACCAAGGTTGGGGCCATCCGCAACCGGCCTCGGAGTCAAAATGTGCATGGTCTGTGAACCTTACTTGGCTTGGCCTCTTACTATCAAAAGTTTGTTCCCAAATACTAAGCTATCGTTCACCCGTTGTCCCACTTGACAAGTAAAAATGTGGCTTTTGTTTGGAGTAATACATGTGAATCTGGATTTGAGTCATTGAAGAGTGTCCGAGTGACTCATCCTTGCTCCACATTGCAGATCCCAAACTTCCGTCAGTAGTATCTACGGATGCGAGTCGGTACGGGATTGGTGCAGTGCTGCAACAAGATGATGGCAATAGATTGTCTGCTGAGATATTTCAGCGAACGGATGCCCAACGCCAAGAAATATAAGAGAACTCTATGCCTTGAAAAAAGCATTACAGTCCTGGAAACACTACGTTATTGTGACCATGAGACCTTGCAATAGATCAAGTCTCGCACTAGTCTGTCTACTACACTGTCCTGCTGGCTGCATGACATTGTTGTTTACAATTTTGAACTGAAGTGTAAGAAAGGCTGCTACAACCGTGTTGCAGATGCTTTGTCCCACCATCCCGAGTATATGACTTGCCTTGTGGATTCTTACAATCTTCGCCACATAAATTGAAGGAGGAACAGCCAAGGATTCGGACTTCGGTCCTATCCTTGAGCAACTCAAGGCTGATAATGGTACTCAGACCAATTGGCCACAAGTGCGAAGGTCTGTTGTTTCAAATATATGGGAAGTTCGATAGATTGTGTGTCCCTAACTGGCACATAGTAGGAAAAGACACTTCGGACTCTACAAGACTTGTGGAAGTTTGTTGCAGCAATTTGTTTGGCCCGCATGAAGTAATCTGCTCAAAAGTACTTCGACGAATGCCTGGTTTGGCAACCGAACAAAGCCCACTGACAACAACCCTAAGTCTCGTGAAACCTTTGCCTATCCCTTCTTCACAAGGGTGAGTCAGTCTGCAATGCTCTGCATGGATTTTCAACGATAGGGGAAAAGTAAGCAAGAGGGTTTACTCTACAATTATGGTCATTGTTGATTGTTCTCAAAACCTTTCACTCTGATTCCTCTTTTGCCACATGCAACCACTTGGTCATATATGAAAATTTGAAAAGTGTGTTTTGCACTATGCCCCCCCCGAACTCTCTTGTGAGTGATCGGGATACCAGATTCATCAGTTGTGATCGGAAGGACTTCACCACACAGGTCGACAAGATCAGACTGAACATGACATTAGGTCGCCATGTGGAAGCTAATGGACAAGTTGAGGAAATGCACGAGAGTATCACCTAACTCCTACTCGTTTTGATCGTCTCCGATCAGAACACATCTGCAAGCCTCCTGATTTCCTGTTCCCTGATCGCCCCACCGGTCTGACCCCTAGCATGCCTGGTTATGGAGTCAAGTACCAACACAGTGACAAGCAGACATGATCAGACTTGCTGATCAGCGATGCACGCCTGCAACTTTCAAGGAAGGGGACTATGTTTGGGCTTGGATGTGTGACTTTCCAAATGAGGAAGGTGTATCTTGCAAGTTACTTCTATTGTACAACGGCCCCATGACAAATTTTGAAAATGGTAGGGGATGATGCCTTTGGTCCTTCCTATGTGGTTGATGCGCCTCTGCATTTGCGCGCATATCCGATGTTTCATGCTTCTCAGCTTTATCCAAACAGTGCTTCTACTTCTTTTCCTGATCGCGATCCTATTCTATTAACGGCGGGTTCAAAGTTAACAAATTTGTGCTGATAAGGGAAAAGGTCAAGACGGACAGTACCAAATGCATTTTTTGCATCATCCATTTGATGAGCTCTATTGGATCCCCCATGAAGTTCTGATCAAATCTGCACCTCGTGTGGTAAACACACATAAGCGCCTCACTCAGCGTGAACAGATGATTGGCCTGTTTGCGTTCTATTCCTATGATGTATTTTGCAGGGACTCGGAGTAGTTTGGTTGCTTGAAGAGACTTCACTCTTAAGGAGGGGGTGGTGCAATAAACTGCAAAATTGCAGACTGTCATGGGAAGGAACATGCTAGGAGTAGTGACTGGAGGTGCAGCCCTGCAAATGATGCTGCCTCCCCTGAGACACTCATAATGTGTAACTGGGTGTTGTATAGATGTTTCCCGGCATTTATATGAGCGCCATGTGGGAAGGCCAGGCTAGAGCCATGGTACTTTCCCCCCAGGCACAACGACGCGTTGATTCGGTGGAAGGCAGCGCCCCGACTCTGCTTTCTTTTCCAGCTAGGTAGGTAATCTCTCTCTCTTTCTCTCTCTCTCTCTCTCTCTCTCTCCCCCCATCTGTGTGTGTGCGCCCTCCCATTTAGATATCATGCGATATTGCTTGCTGTCCCCATCTTACCTTGGAATCACGTCAATCCAACAAACCCGCCTCCCTCCCTCTCTTCTGCA